TTAAGTAAGATGACTAAATACAGACTGCGATTGTATAATGAAGACACTTTTTTTAGAATGAAAAGTCTCATAAAATAACACAAAATAATAAATAATATGTAGCATGTATGCTAATAACTTCGAACGGCGCCGAGTTCCAATCATTTTTGAAAAACTAACCCAAAAGACAAGTTCATACATATTTTAAATATAATTCATGATAAACTGCAATTGTGTAACTCGATTGCAAAATGCAAGTTTATTCATGTTGTCCCTAAAGGGTTTTGTTTTTCTTTGTAGCCCGTTGCTTATTTCATTTGGCGCAGATATTTCTTTGCGATACGAGAACCGCAAAGTATATCACTATTGCCAGTCAATAAAGAACGGAGGGGAATCACTAGTTCCGTGCACGGGTGTTGAAACAGATCAACGTCTTTTAACCTTTCTTCGAATAAAAATAGCATCAGCTTACGTATATGAATGATGATGAACTAACAATGCGAAATTTCTAATAATAGACACATATAAAACAATTACTTTTGATGTGTAAATGCACCTATTACTTGTCAGAGACGTCTAGTGTTCAAGCAGTATGCCTCGGGTTCTGGAAGAAGCCTGCAAATTTGGCTCCTAGGCATGTCGCTCCGCCCGAGAAAATGTCTGGAGAGCATTACATCCGGCACCAGTCGAGAACTCGGCGAGTTTTGAGGCGCAAGGAGCGGGCCGCGTGGTAGGGACGTTCGCGCAGGCGCGGCTGTCCGCGGCGCAGAGGCGCGGGCTGTCGGGGCGCGTTTTCGCGGGCGCGCGGCAGAAGTCGGGCCGGAAGGATACGCGCCTCGACGCCTCGCCCCGGCGCGGGGAGCCATCGCCTGCAGAACGCCCACCACGCCGCCGCCCCGCCGCCCGACGCTCACCGCAGGCGCGGAGCCCGGCCCTGGCTCATCCATTCCTCCGGCCCTCGCGCACTCGCCACCACAAAGACCGTAGACTCCACGTGACGAACCACTCTGCCGCCCGTACACCGGCCACCCGCTTGCCCGTCTCTGGTCCAAAGCCGACAGGCCAGTCCAACGGCACTTCCTACGCTTTCGCCGTTCACGGCGTCACTCACCGGTTGCCGTCCCCGCCTACCACAGCTCTCCACCGCAGCTAACCAACAGCCCACGCCTCGACTCCGCAGGCAATGTCGCCCGCCGTTAGCTGTTCCTCAACTTGCGCCCACTTGCGGCCAACGCCCAGCCTTCGACCATACCCCTCGCAAACGCCTGCCTTTTACGCTCACTTTCCATCCGCCACCGCGCCACCTGTCCGACCTCTGCCTTTCTCTTTCCACTGCCGTCCATTCATCTTCTCGACCACCCACTCGCCTACAAGCCCCACCGAGCCCATTTAACTCGGACCTCCAACGCACGTTCGCACTCATTCGCGTACCGCACCGCTGCTGATCCGCATGCGCAACTGGTAGCACGCCCGCCGCCCACCACGCCTCGTTACCGCGGCGCGTCCCGTCAAGGCCGGCGTCGGTGGGGCGGGGCGGGGGCGCCGCGCTTGCTCAAAGCGGCCGCGCGCGCCGCGGTCAACAGAAAGCGCGCGTCCGAGGAGGCGCCGCCGCTATGAGACGCGGGCCGAGCGAAAGGGAATGCTGAGATGCAGGCGAGTGCGGCAAGGTGGACAGCGGAGGCGGGCGCGACGAACGGCGGAAATTAAAAACCAGGAAAAGAATACGTTATAGAATGGCTAAATGAAAGAAAGATGCAGGGCGAACAGGTAAATTGCTGGAAAGGAGACAAGATCGGAATGCATTAAATAAAATGGACGTACGGTCTGGACATAATATACTGCAGGAAAGTTGAAGGCAAGGAGCAGGGGATAATGAATTAAGCACGTAAGAAAGAGTTGGCTGAAAAGGCGTCACAAAGGCTGAGTGAAGTAGCGGATTGACGAAGACTGCCAGATGAAACTGCTCAAATAATCTTCAATGAACAATGCTGCGAAATGCTGAATACAAACATACGAATTCGACTTAACTCGAAAAAGATAAACACCCAGCGGAAAAGATAATTGAGCGCGAAAAACGGGAAGACGCAGCAGAAAGATTGAAAAAAGCCGTTATGTTTAATTAGAATGAGGGAATTCGTGAGCGGGGAGCCAGGGCACGTTGAGGAAAGAAAAGTGCCGGGAAGAACGTGAGCTGCAGCGCGAGCGGCCGAGCGGCAGCTGCGGCAATAGGGCGCGGCAGCGGCGGCGGCGGCGGCGGCGGCGGGGCCTCTGGCAAAAGGCGGCGGGGTCGGCGTAGGCGCGAAGCAGAGACCCAGGCGCGCCAACTATCGAGTAGGTGGAGGCGGCAGCGGCAGACATGGCATAACGTCGCTCACTGGTGTCGGTGGTGCTGTGTAATTTAAAAAGGTCCTCTAGAGGACATATTCCAACTTTGGGTGCCTGTGTTGTGTGTAATAGAACAACTGACTGTAATTGCTAATTTATATGTCATTTTTGTCATGGGTTTTGAATTTGCAATATCATAATATACATTACTTTCTTCCAATACATGTCGCATTCGTTTTCTCTGTAAATTATTATTATTATTATTATTATTATTATTATTATTATTATTATTATTATTATTATTATTGAGTAATTATTAAATTGAGGTTCTTATAAAATTATTGAGATCTTAGATGATACATTTACAATATTTGTACCCTATGTATTACTTCCATTTACAGTCGCAAGTGAACGCAGAACAAAAATTTGCAATTATAATTTTTTTTTTAAACCATGAAAGTGTGCTGTGATAATATTTGTGGTAGATATTTAAGATTAAGTTTCATACAAATAATGATCTCTGTGCACCGGAATAATGAATTATGAAAGTAAATGAATGCGTGATAACAATTCATTTCAAAATATCACTTTCAACGTCGAAAAGAACAAAGGCAGCGACCTATTGAAGTATCTCGCTCTGTGCTCAATCACCCGTGATGTGTTACTCTTGCTTCACTGAATACTCAACGATTTGTTTAGTCGAACAGAAAAAGACGCCTCACTCAGAACCATTGAGTCTAACATGTTACTGATCGTGATAATAGCCCAGTACAAAACGCATTGCGAATAACAAAACGGTCGTTCATTGAGACCCAGCTCCTTGAGTCCAGCCTTTCCCAGCGCTAGCGGCCGCCATATTCTCCTCTTCCATTCAACCGCATCACATGGACGGGTGCTCGCCCTGGCTGCGCTGGTCTCCATCGCCGAGCGTGCGCGCTGGTGCGCGGGGTCCGTTGGTGCGTTGGTGCGCGTCGCTGCCGATGCTCTTTGCTCGAGGGCGTCGCAAAACGGTCGGGACGAGTGCGCGCGCGCGTCGGATGCTTTTGAGTTCTCGCCTCAAACGCAAATGCGCGATGCGCCTCGCTCGCAAAATAAACGCCGCGCCGCGCCGTTCGGCGCCGGGCAAGCAACGGTGCCTCGCTCGCGGGCCGGCGTGGGCACGACGCGGCGCGCCCGCGGATTCAGGCCGTGGCGGTATCGAGCCGGGTCATTGCGTTAAAGCAGCTCCACTCATTTGGATTGATTGATTGAGTGACTGATTGATTGAGTGACTGATTTATTAGTGCTTCCGGGCGTGCCAACTGGACAAGGTCATTAGTTCCGTAAGAATAGTGCATGTTTTATCGCGGGAGGCTGAAGTGATCTTCCCACGCTGGATGGCGAGATCCGGTGTGAATTTACATATCGGTTTGCTCGGTTTTTCCTTTCCAAGTATCTTTCACGATCGGGCACCGCTCCTGCCGGGGCGGTGCCTTTACGCTCCCGTCACGTATGGTAGTGTAGTGCATGCAATTGTAACAATTGCGGGGTGAAAGTGGGTCAAGGTAGGGGAAGGAAATATCGCGAGCGATCTTAACCAGTTTTTGTTAGGGTACTGCTACATCATTCACCTGGTGTTGATCGGTGAAACTATTGAAAATTCTCTATCAGAGCAGCCGGCCGCTAGAATGCTCCTCCGGACAGCGGCTGAATTCGACATAGCTATGAAGCTAGTGTCGACACACACCACGAGAAGCAACCTTGTTCGCCGAATCCCAAGTAATATAGACGGATGACTTGCTATTTGCTGCGCGACGAACATTGAGTGCTCGCCCTACCCACCGCGTGTCTGTCTTTTGGACAAAGGGAGGTAACATTGCGGAGCTGAGAACAAAAGCTACTTGTGATTGGAAAGAGCAGTAGCTCTCGAATCTACTCAGCGAATGCCAAAAGTGTGGAGCCGCCTTTAGGAGAGTGAGTAGTGGTGGCAAATAAGACACCAGGTGGTTTTACTTTAATTCTACAGTGAAGAAAGTATCAGGTACTCCGTGTTTTCAATTTGTAAAGTGGTGTCTGGGTGATGGATTGTTTTTAAGGATGTCATGAAATGTTAAAAGACTTATAGTTTGATTGTAATATTGTAAATATTTTTAATAAATAAAATACGAAGAATTACTGTCAATACTTGGAACATCGCATATACGTCTTGACAATTTAGTACACATTCAAACCGATATCTACTTATAGGTCGTTTGCCAGATAACAAGTTGCAACATAGTAGCTGAGGTTATTATTTTAGAGAATGCAACGACCGATTTCTTTAGAACAAAAACTCAAGTAACTTTTCTGCACCCGTACTTCTCACGATACAAATAGTGTGTTATCACGACACGACAGCTACAGTAAAAGTGGCAATATTAAGCATTTCGCATCATAGCTGAAGTTACGACAAGAAGTGGATTAGCTGTAACTTGTCATTACAGCTAGAAAACTATACGATATCAACTTATGTATCCGCTCAGATAATCTTAGTAACAGAGCAGATACATTGTCTGCAAAATCCGTTTCATTGCCGGTGGTACCTTTTGACGTCGTCCATTACCTTCCGGACCATGAGGCTGCGGTGCCGGGCCAGCAGCGCCCCGAGGCGCCAGGTGAGCGGCTCGGCGCGCGCGGCCACCGCTGCAATCGCGGCGCGAGCCCGCCGGGCGCGCAGTCTACTCACGTCGGTGTCCATGCGCAGGGCGTCCTCGTCCGTGTAGCCGAGCGAGCGCATGTGCTTCAGGTACGTGGTGGTGATGGGCAGCGAGAAGTCGATGTCGATGGGCTCCAGGACGTGCGGCGGCGCGTAGCTGCTGAAGAGGCGCAGGGTGGGCGGGCGGCGGGCGGCGGCGGGGCGACGCGTGCGGCGTGGCTCGCCGACGCGGGGCGGGCTGGGCGAGAGGCGGCGGGGGCGTCCGCGCGGGGGCGCGGGGCGACGCGGGCGACGCGGGGCGGGCTGAGCGGGCGGCGGCGAGCGCCGCGCCTCGCTCTCGCCGTCGCTGTCGGCGGGCGCCGAGGGGCGGCCGGCGGGGCGCGGGGGGCGGCGGGGGCGACGTCGTCAGAGGGCGCGCCTGCTGGAGCTGCGCGGGCGGCGGCGGGGGCGGGTGGGGGCGGGTGGCGGGGGAGGCGAGGCGGGGCGGGCGAGCACGATCTCCGCCTGGGCTCCGGGGAGGTGGCGAGCGGGGGAGGCGTGGGGCGCGGGAGGAGAGGGGATGGGACGCGGTGGGTGGCCTGGCGGGGAGGGCCGTGTCGGGAGGGCCTGGACGGGGCGGGGCGGCGTGTGCGGGGCTGGGCGGAACGGGAGGTCCAGCGGGAGCGGCGGCAAGCGGCGGTGCAGCTGCGAGCGGTGCGGGTGCTGAACCTGCTTTGCAGGTGGAGCTGGCTGAGCGGAGTGCAGCAAGTGCGGGCTGTGCAGCGGGGTTTGCGGCGGCGCGTGGGGGCGACGCCAGCTGCGGCTGGGTGAGGCGGCCGACTGGTGCGGGGGGGGGGCGGCGCTGCTGGCGGTGTGCGCCGGGTGCAGGGCGACCGGTGGGTGGCGGCGAGTTGTGCGGAGGCGAGGGCGCGGGCGCGGGCGCCGGCGCGGGCGGCGGCGGCTGCTGGGCGCGGGGCGGGCGCGGCGCGGGCGACGTGCAGGGCGAGGGCGAGGCGGAGCGCGAGCGCGGCCGCCGCTGGCAGTCGGTGCAGCCCAGCAGGAAGCGCGTCACCGCCTCGCGCGGCAGGAACGCGTACGTCTCCGTGATCTGAAACACAGCGCGCGAGTAAGGAGATGGGCGGTTAAGGAATGGGTATAAACAGTAAGAGAACAAAACGTAATTGGTTCAAGGAGAGACAAATCGTACACGTATCGGTACAAAGTATGAACTCAAAAAGTAGAGTTAAGAGGAACTCGTCTTGTTGGCTTTATTTCTAACAAACGACTAAGAGTTGAGAACACACTTTGACACTCCTGGGCAATGAAGTAATGGATCGGGGAGGCCTGATGGCGATAATCCTAAAGGTTTGAAATTCTTTTGCATTTGTCTTCCACGTCCTATTCAAAAGATACAAAAATTGCCTTAAAACCCTAATCTAGAGCGGCTTTCACTGGTGCGGTATGTTAATTATGTCAAATAAAAGAAAATAAGAATATATAAAGGTATCAAAATAATAATACGAGTTAGTAAAAGCGAAACTCTCTGCAGTACAAGTACTCGTACATCCTTCACTATTATTTTTAAAAATTGCTAAGAGCGCATAATTTCCAATATTTCATTAAAGGCTAAAAATATCTGGCATTGTACTGAAATGAATCTACAGGAAGCACATAAAAAATCTTATTGTCATATTTACGTTTTTTTTAACTGATACCGTTGGTTGAAGTAGAAAAGAGAGTGCGTTGTTTTCATTTAATGTTTACGAGATATAAAAGAAACGTAAACAACACTTCAGTAAATACTAACAAAACTAGATGACGCTGCTGATTGTAAAAATATTTCATTTAAAATTGGGGAACTCCGTACGAAAATAATGTTTGCCAGTCAGTTCAGTCTCTTGTTATTCCACAATTTAAAAACAAAATGTAAAGGATATTGTTTTCCATCGACTCTACAAGCAATACACCAGGGTACATCTTGGGGAATGAAAATTCGAGTTATCCCTGAGAGTCCTTCGTTAATATTGGTGGTTAAACATTTTTTGGCTTGGACTGATACCGGGAAAACAATGAATTAATGCATGCTTTCAATTTGTAGGTAAAACAAGTTTTTATGTCAGTGTTACTGAACCAAAATAGAATATGAGGTACTATGAATAACTTTCGGATATTTTATTAATTCGTTCACAAAAGCAAATAAGAATGATCGGATGAGTTAACGAATTAATTATTATTGTATCACTTACTACCAAAACATTCTAAAACAAGAACTTTGAAAAACTCTCCGAAGAAAAGTATTCCATAGTGATTCTACTAAATTCTAGATAAAGCAAATATATTTCTTCAACTTAATCACGAAGTCAGTAATGTCTTCGTAACATTTGTATGTTTCATTTTCTCTAACCTTCATCAATTTTAAGTAATATTGTTTACCTTTTTTTATTTTCCGACTTCAAATCAATATTCTCATTAATATTTGAAATGGTGAGGCAATACACATCATTATTTGCTGTGACGTGTATCCCCCTGAGGCGTCGAATTGTACGATTTTCGGTTTTGAGATTGAAATGGTTTCAAACATACATATAATGGGGAAATAACAGTTTTGGGCTCGCCAATGAGCGAGTTATGAATAGTTTCGGTTTCACTATTTTGGAATGCAAAGGGTGGCAAATTGAGAAACTTATTATGTAGCATAGGCTAATTGGTTAATGGCGACACTCACCGTGCGGTAGGTGCGCTTCTGGCCAGCATGCTTTCCAGCGCGACCTTCCATCTCCACATGTACGCTGTAGATGATGTCGAAGAAGTTCTCCACGACGGCGACCTTCTTGAACTGGTTAACACCTCCTCCGCCGCCTCCGAAGCCATCCTGCGAACGCAGACACAGTCGTAAGTACAGATATGAGATTCAAATACGGTCATGTACGAACATTTTTCACAAAATACAACATACAAAACGACTTAGAAAGATATTATTTTGGAGTGTCTCAAAACCAAACTATTCCCTCCTGAGACAATTCTAGGTCAATAGAGTATTACACAACCAACAGTTAAAATTTTTACAATGTTTTTAGGAAACATCCATTTCCCATGCTGAACTCTACAGACTCTTACGGCTAAACGATTCTGTATTATAGAAGTAATTTCAAGTGTATATTTAGTAACAACAGGTAAAAATAGCATAATATTCTAAATAATAGTTACTTAATCGATAAAGATAAAATTTAAACAAGCGAGTTCAAATTCAATGCCAAATAATGTCCAGGTCACAACGTTTGAACTGAGAGGTAATACGTTTTCCCATGCTTTGTCATAAAAACGTAATACCCCGAGGGAATGTACATAAACATTAATGTATTCGAGAACTTTTTATACTTTTGTTTGAAATTTCACGCTTCCATTGAGAAATATCGATTCCCATTGCAAGGGGAGTGAGAGCTACATCAATCAGCAGCGTATCTAGAAAGTTTTACGCAGCCATCGTTTCGCGTTAGAAAGGCTCCGAAACGTACGTTCTTTCAACTTTGGAAAACGCGTTCTATGTGTTTAATAAATATGGATTTATTCAACCTTCAATCAAAGACAAATTTCATTCAAAAATATGGGAAGTATTTAGAAAGATTTTCATCTAAAATAACAGCTTGGAAAGGTCAACGAAATCATCTTTGTTTTCAGAAAACAAATCTTTGTATAAATTCTTACTTTGTATCATTGGCATTGGCAAAATTGAACAACAAGCCTTTGGGGAATGCTATCGGCACTGGTATTCGCAACATTCCTCTAGATAGCGCTTCTTTGAAGTAACAGACCATCAAAAAGAAACAAATCACGACAGAAGTCACCACAAACAATCGGAGTTCGCAACGAACAAACAAAAAAGTGATTTTTACAACTAAATTCCCACTCTTCTCGTCGGTCGTTTGCCTTTGTTTGCACCGCAACTTACGCACCTGCTCGCGGCGGGTGCGTGTGCGTACGGATATTTATTAGCGCTCCTCCTACCGAGCAGGCGGTCGCCCTCGCGAGCGGCGACGCGTTGCAAAAAACGCACGCACGCATTCACGCACGCACACACGCGCGCGAGCGTAGCCATCACCGCGGGGCTCCCGCGCGCCGCCCCGCACCGCTCCGCATACGCAGCGGCGCTGGCAGCGGTGGTGTTCCGATACACACGCAAGAAAAATAAATACATCCCTCCGGTC